ACTTTTCCCCTCCCAACCTTTATTTAGACAGGTTAATCCCATTGAGACTCTCATCAATACCTTGCTCCTGTAAAACATTCACATTCAGTTGGAAACCTGTTAATTTATTTGCCATACGTTGCTCTGTTATATCCAGCCTCTCCCTGACACTCTTTCTACCCGTCTGACCTAATTTTCACACACACACTTCCTCCACTCGTGGTTCTGTTAACGCCTCGGCCACTGAACTCTCCAGGACTCTTAAGTACAATCCATTAGAGTCTGATGAATAAATAAATCTCATGTGGTAAATTAAGACCTTCAGCCCCTCCTCTTTACCACAAAATCCTTCCTTCCCTCATACGCACAGAGGGAGGAGAAAAAAGCTGTGTATGAAAGCAGCATTCTGATGATCAGTGTGATAAACGAACTCAGAAAGAACTGAGAATTCCCTTGGATCTTGCCATGTTTACCCAGGGATGAATAACTGACATGCTTTTCCCCCCTCTTGCCATAAAAAGGAAAATTTTGACATCATATTTTTAGGATGTCAAATTGTGTGGATTTCCCCCATGAGTATCCATCAGTGGGCTGTCAAGTCAGCAATGCTTGTTATTAGGGGTCCAAGCCGGTGGAGGATGGGGAAAGCTGCTGCTTGTTTCCATGCATCCAGGGGAACATGGAACCCTATTGAAACTGTTCTGTTTATTTTTATTATTTTTTTCTTCCATAAGAAAGTCATACTGCAGCCCAAACTGCAAGGCGTACTGAGATGATAGTTACAGTAGTAACTATGGCCTGCATGTGCAGCACTGAAAAATTCTCAGACATGTTTACCTATAGGAGGAACTATCATTACGGTGTTTGCACTTGGTCCTCTAACATCTAAACGCTAGGTTGCAAAATTTATTGGCTTATTTCCTCACAATTCCTGGTCTCTAAAGAGTCACATGGTATAAGCCACGCCCATTTCCACTTACAATTTTATTTTACTTCATTGCAAAGTTTGTAAAAACTACTTTAGACTTTTACAGTAAGGCTTGAAGTTCAATTGCCGTCAAACTCACCATCCTAAATCTAGATGGCATGCTGATGGTGTAGAGGCAGGGCAGCCGACTCAGGACCCGAAAGTCCCAGGTTCGATCCCCAGTCATTGCACATCTTGTTGTGTCTCTGAGCAGCACACCCTAACCCCAATTTGCTCCCCGGGCACTTTCAATAGCTGCCCACTACCACCTGGGGGTGGATGGGTTAAATGCAGAGACCCAACTTCGTCATTGTATGGGAACATACAATGATGACAACACATACGACATTATTATTATCATTATTATTGTTGTTATTATTATTATTATTATTATTATTATTATTATTATGAATGTAGGTTTTCAAGGACAAGTAGTTAGTTTTTAAAAACATGTAAGTTATGTCTAGGCAACTAGTTTTAGCATCCTAGCTAAAGACAAGTTCAGCCATGTCTTTAAAACAATAGTAGATGATAAGATAAAATTCATACTACTGTTATGGGAGTCAATTCTGAGTTAGTGGACCAGATTTGACAATCATTGAGCTATATGGGGTGCAATAAACCACTGAAAAAAAATCCCTCCAAAATAGTTAATTGGATAGTTATAAAAATTTGCACCGACTTTTAGAACAATGCCCTAAGCTTACACAGAAAAGGTACTGGTAATAATGTACAAGTAAAGTGGGCATGACATGTAGGGTCCATCCATCCATCCATTATCTTTACCCGCTTTTTCCACTTTGGGTCACGGGGGTCGCTGGTGCCCATGTCCAGCAATCACTGTGCGAGGGGCGGGGTACACCCTGGACGGGTCGCAAGTCCATCACAGGGCCACATAGAGACAAACGAGACAAACAACCATTCACTCTCTCACTCACACCTATGGACAATTTAGAGTTACCAATCAGCCTAACATGCATGTTTTTGGTCTGTGGGAGGAAACCGGAGTACCCGGAGAAAACCCACGCATGCACGGAGAGAACATGCAAACTCCACCCAGAAAGGCCTCCGGACCGGGATTTGAACCAGGGACCTGCTCGCTGAGAGGCAGCAGCTCTACCAGTTGCGCCACCGTGCTGCCCGGACACAAATCCAAAAAACACAAAACATTCTAAATAGCACATAGACTCTTGATTCTAGGTCTAGTCATTACTCTAGGACCTAGAGTCCTAGGCTGTAAAAAAAAGTTTTTCGAGAAATCTTGTGTTTTTAAATTACCATTCTGTTTACGCAAGGAGGAACAGATACAAAATGGCAAGTTGAGAATCACCATAAGATAGAAATAGTATCAAATGAGAACTATTCAGTTTTAACAATTCATTTAAGGACATGAGGTCAGTTTGTCCTCCAGTAGTCTAAGTGTATAGCAGCAAGCCAACCCTAACTATAGGATTTATCAAAAAGAAATTCTTAAGCCCAGTCTTAAAACTGGACAATGTGTCAGCCTCACAGACAGAAACTGGAAGTTGGTTCCACAAGAGAGGAGCCTGATAACTGAAAGATCTTCCTCCCATTCTACTTTTGGAAACTCTAGGAACCATGAGTAAACCTGCAGTCTGAGAGTGAAGTGCTCTGTTAGGAAAATATGGAACAATAAGATCTCTAATATAAGATGGAGCTACATGTATGAATGTATGAATGTATGTATGTACATGTATGAATAAATGTTTACAAATGAATGAATTAATGTGTATGAAGGTGTGTGTGTGTGTGTGTGTGTAAAGAGATGAGAGATAAACATTTCCCTCTTTTACTCTGTGTCACAATCTATCAAACACCTAAATACAGCAAAAAAAAAAAGACAGATTTTATGACGGGACTTATGCTACGATATGACCGTCTTTTAATAGTTGGTCATTTTAGCATTCATGTCTGCTGTGAGGCTGGACCTCTGGTCAATGATTTTATGACCATTATTGACTCTTAATCTCACGCAATCTGTTACCGGTGCCACTCGTGAAAAATTACATACACTGGATCGTGTGCTGTCTTATGGTATGTGTCAACTATGGGAATCTGTGGAACTATTATTGGTCCATCTACCTGTTCTGTTCATTTTGGTGGTCTCTGGTAAGAAGGAACAGACTGGATCATCTGAGTTTTATATGCACGATAAACTTCAACACTGTGAGGATTTTCTCCACCAGTTTTAAGGACTCTGTTTCCTGCTACCCTCAGTTCTGCTCTGTGTCCAATGTGGATAAGGTAACAGATCTTTTTAGTTCTTCATGTACAGGTACTCATCATATTATGATCTCTGTTGCTCCACTAAAAATTAAACAGACAAAGTCTGCATCTCACCTGAATGAAACCATGAAACCTCTTAGACACTGTGCAGAAAATGGGGAAAGGGCAGACTTCAAGTTTCACTGGATATATTTAAGGACAACTTATTAAATTATCAGAGAACTGTTGAAGTTGCTAAGACTGCTTTAAAAAAAATCAAATGTGGTTTTAAACTACAGTCACAGACCTCTGTTTAAAAATAAATAAATAAAAGTTTTTAACTCTGTTGTGAATCCTGGCAATGCTGGTCACGTTGGTGAATCTGCACTATTTTAGCAGTTGTTAATTTTTTTAATTGTTTTTTATTTTTTTATTTTTTTTAGAAAATCTCTACTCTGAGATCTTTAATCCAGTTTGACACAGACCAATGTGATGCTCAGGATGGGAGATTGTAAGGAAGTGAAGAATTACCACATTCCGACAGCTTCATTTGATAGACAACTTTTACTAATTGGCCTTTCTTAACGTCTTCTTCTTCTTTCCTCTTTTCCCTCCACAGAAAGTCATCCTCCTCCATCTCACTATGTCCTCTGCATCCTCTGTCCTCACTCCAACTACCTCCATGTCCTCTCTAACTGCCTACATGTATCTTCTCTTTGGATTTCCTCTTTGTCTTTTTCATGGCAGCTTCATTTTCAACATTTTTCTATCAATATATTCACTGTTCCTCCTCTGGACATGTCCAAACCACTGTCCATCCTCTGGACATGTCCAAACCACTGCCCCTCCTCTGGACATGTCCAAACCACTGTCCCTCCTCTGGACATGTCCAAGCCATCTCAGTCTGGCCTCTTTAACTTTATCTCCCAGTTGTTCAACCTGTGCTGCACCTCTGATGATCTCATTCCTAATCGTATCCCTCCTTGTCACTCCTAAGCAGAAACTCAACATCTTCATTTCTGCCACTTCCAGTTCTTTCTTTAAAATTGGCCTTTCGTTTACTCTTTGTACTGTATAACAAAGTAATGAATTACAATAGGAATTGAATTGACTAACTGGATTTGAATCTGCATTTGTATTGGATTTATGATTGAATTTTTTTTGTGTACTGCCCTGAAATGACACTTGTGAATTTGATCTATATAAGAACTAAACTGAAGAGAATAAACAATGTATTATTTATTTTCTCTCTACAGTAGACATGTTTTGTGAAAAATGATTCACAAGAAAATAAATTATACTTAAGACACTGAAGCTCTAAAAAATAACAATAGTCAGGACAAGTGTTGCTGTATTATTGCTGCAGAGGTAAATGAAAATGCCAGAAAATGATCCAACCTCATGGCTCCAATAAGGGCTTATTGTTTTTGCGGATCTATTTATTGTCAACAACTGAATAGATTTAATGAAACACTCAAACTAATCACTGGGTATCCATCCACAGCTGATTAGCTTTTAGAGTCAATTCAATTCAAGATAATCGCTACAAATAATCACAGTAGCCAACACAAAACTGGCTGTAACCTAACCTGTTTTGTAGATAATGAGCTAAAATTTGATGTGGTAGTAGCTTTGAGACACTTTTCTGTTTCTGTGACTTCTCTTGTAAACATTTATTAATAGTAAAAATTATTATTTGGATGAAAATTAGAAGAAAAAAAATTAACATAAGAGTTTGGAAGAAGAAAAAAAACGTAAAATGTGGAAAGATGTAAATGATGTTATAAAATCAGCATTGAGTGTAATAGAAATCAATGTGTTCTCCTACCTGAAACATGGTTGGGGTACAAGTCGTTTTTCATGAATGGATGGTGGACCACCTGCATGTATGGTGGCGGGGCTACCATGTGACTGATGTGCTCCCCGGCGTCTGAACTGTGCCAGATGTTTACCTGATTTGAAAGGACAGAAAGGGAAGAATTTCAAACAGGGTTCCTTTCAATACCCTTAAAATTCCGACTTTGTTAATATCCGCAACAAGAACAAACTGTAGCACACTGACACTAAATGGATTTAGGTATTTTTAAAGAGTACAATATTATGGAGTGTGTGAATTTTCTGTAGAAAGAAAAACTCTGTGAAAGTTAAATCAGAAGAAAATTAATTAAATAAGTTGAACTTGTATTTAAAATGTCAGATCACCAAACTGATGGGTGCCAATGCACAATACAGTCCAGTACGTACAGTACATACTGGTTTGCACCTTGTTCTCTATGCCCCTGGTGCGTTCCTGGTACCTACAGGGCCTGAGCTCTATTACGAAGTGGCATTTTACCATTTACTAAAGTACGTTCCAGGTACGTACTTACAACGTACATAACTGGCACTTACTTAATATGTATTTACTGGATACCTATCAGATATTACCTAGTACATGCCAGGTACCTGGAATGTACCTGATACCAGATCAACAAGATAAATAAGATAGATAAGCTATGTACCCAGTAAGTACAGAGTAACAAGTCACTAATGCCT